TATAGAAGAAAACAAAATCGTTACAATATTCTATGGGTATAAAATTTACTCGTATTGACTTCCTTTTTCCCTCTGTCTTTCCGTTACATTTTCCCTTTGTCTTTATTTCTAGTCCACTAAATATCACAAAGAACCGGAAACACATTTTTCAGCCGAAATGTTGTAGCATGTAAAATAATTTTGCATGTTATAATTGTGGTAGTTCATTTTGCAGTATCCAGTGTTGTCCAAGTTTCTGGTGTCAGTGTTCTTCTGTGCCATCTATTACGTATTGATAGACTACAACTCACCCTTACCTATAGGTATATACTATATCATTACATCCATTATACAGTGTATGTGAACTACCTGCTTCCCCCATCACAGATTCGTCCATGAACATAATCCTGCAACTGTTGTATTTCTCCCTGGTGTCCTTTGTTGTCCGTTGTCGGTTCTACTTTGTTTTCCTTCTCAACGACAGCATCAGCAATGCAGCTGGGCTGGGGTTCGAAGGTTACGACGAACAAAACAGACCCAAGTGGGGGCTGGCGTCCAATATTGATATACTGAGTATAGAGCTCTCTATGAATGCCAGAAACTCTCTCAACTCGTGGAATATTACTAGCTCACGGTGGATAAGAAGGTCTGTGTGTTATTCTCAAATCCAAGTGTTTGCTTCCTTGAAAGGTGTAATGTAGTTTTTCATTGAAACATTTGTCTTTCCTTGTGCGTCTACTTTGTCCTGTTTATGTCTCATTTGCTTGCCATCTTAGAGTGGTTTATGAGAGAGTGTCATGGAGTCCAACTCTGGCCAGTTTCTTGTTTTCTGCCTGGTGGCACGGCTTCTATCCTGGATACTATCTCGGTTTTTTCACTGCTGGTCTCGGTTTAATGGCATCAAAGAAGGTAGCTATAGCTGTGTATATGGGCATTGCCTGTAATAACTTTATAACAATAGGCTCTTAAATCTTTCTTCCGGTAGGGAATTGAATTCATTTTGAAAGTGCTATCCAACCCAGTTGCTTATCTCAATATGAATGGTTCTTACTTTTCGTTCTAATAGCAAAAATTTTGTCATTCATAGCCACACAAAAAGTAAGTAACCACCCCCCCCATTCTCTCTCCCAGATGAGGAGGTGGTGTAACCCATTCTTCACCAGTCATGGTCCAGTGTTGAAGTGGACCTACCACGTAGCCACGTGGGTCCTCACTCAGGCGTATATGACCTACAGTTGTTTAGCTGTTAGTCTGGTGTGGTTCCCTGCTGTCTGGACTTTCTGGAGGTGAGCCCTGGCCCCCACCACTCCTCACATCCCTTATTAATGCTCCACTTTGACATTCATTTCTGCATGACAATTGATTGGAGGGGAAATCAAATGGCAAAATTGCTGTGGCTAGTGACTGACACTGTTTGAGAAACTATGCTAATTGCTCCCTAGTATTACGTAATATTATTTTTGAACATAGCTATAGCTTCTCAGTCACAGTTTTCCACTCTCTAGTTTTTTTGACTTCTATTCCCTCTTTCTGTCCACTTGGTTCTATCTTTACAGTCACCACTACTTTGTTCCAACTGTGGCTCCTCTACTGGTACTGCTGTTGGTACCGTCCAGACAGTCTCAGAGACACAAGGACTCACATGACGTGAATGGTGATGTCAAATCTGGTCCATCTTCAGACTCCAACACCAAACAAGACTGAAATATGAGTAGTGTTCATTTAGTTACCTCACTACTGGCATAATTTCGAGCACTTTAGGGCATTATCCTGACATTCTGCACCCCCGAATGGGTGTGGTGGGTGTACTGCGCTGCCAATTCTGTCGCACGTGCCCCCGTGCACCGCTGCCGGCCCGGCCAGCTCTCGTGTTGACCTCCTACTATATACACCACATGGCATGCAAAAATGGTGTAGTGAGTGTAGCACACAACCAGCGGGCACGAGTTTTGCGACTGGTGATGACGAGGCTGGATCAAACGCAACTGCTAGCAAAAAAAGGAAAATAGCATTTTATGTAAAAACTTGAGCATTATGGGTATATTTCTTGAGAATTATTGGGACCTGCATGAGAATCAGAGAATAGCACTTTAGGTGAAAAACTTGAGCATAATTTTCCAAAGCCTAGTAACATAACAAATTGTACTATAATTATTGTGTGTAGAAACTGGGCCCTCTATATACAGAGCGCCAGTGTAGTATACTTATGTGCACAGTGTCAACAATAATGCTTATTTGTAGTCCAACTTCAAACAACCCAGTGCTAGGAATTGTATTCTGAGCTGTGGGCTGCAGGCTGCACTGGTATCACAGGAAGTCCTTATCACAACATCTAGCGCTAGGCGTAGTGCAAATTGTCTGGATTCCATTAGTGCAGGATGACACAGCAGAAATTCAGCATTGTGATTGGCTAGTTGGACTACAAAATTAATCATAACGTCAGGCGTCGCGGCGCGTACAGGAAATCCTCCTCGGCAGGAAATCCTCCTCTCCTGTGCCGCCTCGCCGCCTATACGTTAACTAATACATCACACTGTTCATTTAGTGTGCTGTCATGTGTAACTGCTTACTCAGGGGCAGGGCTATAAATCTCCTTCCTTCTCCATACATGTAAAAGTCTAATGATGCTATATAGGGATACAAAAACCCACATGGTGATAACAGATATTATGACGATGTATGCACACCATAAGCTACATTCTGGTCAGTGGGTATGGTAGTAGTCTGAGTGGTGACATAGGCTGTGTTTGGTTCAGTTGGAATGACAGAAGAGGTTGTGGTGGTTGGGGGAAGAACCACCTCATCGTACACCACATTTTTGGTCTGCAGACCTGATGCAAGAGACCACACTTAAACACAACTGTGAAGAAGTGTGCTGGAAAATATTTGAAAACCAGATCCTAATTATAATCATAATTATTTTACCTGCATCAGACGGGGACTTGCTTTGGCTATAATAGTGTCTGACTTTCACCAGGAGTAACACTGCTGAGCCGCCACATACTAGAACACACACAACTACAGTTCCTGCAGGAGGATATTATTATACGTGTGTGGGTTTAACTTTGGTAATGTAAACACCCACCAACGGATATGGCAACAACTGGTGCTTGAGAGTTTTGCTTTCCTCCTTTCCCTTTGTCTGTTTCCTCGTCTGCAGATAAATGAAAGTTGGGACACTATAGTTACAAAAAGTGTCTTAGAGTATACTTTCACTTTTGTGGAAGTGTCTCAAATGCCTTTATGCCTGATATAATATATAGAGATTGTATTGTAGTGATTATTACCTGAGTCACTGAATTTAGTATAAACCAGTGGTGCTTCATCCAAACTCATTGCATCATTTTTCCCAAACAAAGCGAAAGTGTAGATTTTGGGGTTGTCCACAGTGATAGAGACAGGGAAATCAAAGAGTTGGGGGATGTCTACTACTGTCAGGAGTAGACTGCCATACTCTCTGTAGACCAGGACACATGAGGCCTCAGGATAGACCTCTGAGAATTCACAGTCTACCACTATAGTTGATCCTCTTCGAGATATGCTGCCACTCTTTAAGTACAACGAAGGTTTAACTGAATCTGCAATATCTGCGAACAAATCAAAACCCTAAAATAGCACAAATAATAATTATAATAACCTGAGGTGTTCAGTATCTGACCCTCCAGTATTACAGCAGGCATGGTGTTGGGTAGTCCATTCTCCTCAAGGTCATATCCATACACAGAGTAAGTGGAGGGAGGGACAGGTACAGTTGTGGAGACAGTCTCCTGAGACTGGGTTCTCAGGAGAGCTCTGAATAATATGTCAGGAGAGGTGGGAGGTCCCTGGAGGACCACCAGACACCCTACAGCTCGTGACCCACTGAGGAACTCTCCTCTTACTATTACTCCTCTTCCTACTTCCTCTTCCACTGACAGTCTCTGGACATCATATGTTGCTGTGGAAACATAGTGCAAAAGCTCTTAAGCCAATGAAAGGCCTAAGTGATTTTGTGGCTTACTAAAGATGTCATATGATACATTCACAGCTCCAGCAGTGGTAAAAACTTCAAAAACGATGGAATAGTTTTTGTTTGCAGAAAATGTGTATGTAAAGAACTCTTGACTTTCAGACTTCGTAATACTGCTATTTGCAGGAGATATTCCATGAAGAATATAGTTACAAACTCCGTCTATGTGGCCCTATAAAAAGAAGTTTGAGTGTTGCAAACATAAAAAGATAAATCTTACAAAAACTTGAAATGTGACAGAAACAGAATCGCAAACAGCTTGGGCGTCAACTCTGGTAAACTGAGATTGTCCTATATATAAAATGATGAGAGCCCGAGAATATGGAAACAGATTAAATTAGTTTAATACCTACCGATGATACCACCACTCTTTCCCTGACCAGCTCCATTCAGAGGGATGACAGAGAAGTTGTACACATGACAAGGACTGAGGTAGTCAAGAGTGAAGGTGTAGTGTGTCTCAGTGATATTGATACAGTCAGTACAGAGAATTGCTGTTGTGTTGTTCTCATCTGTCACATTGTAGATGAGGACAGAGTACCAGATATCAGGATCAACACCAGTCACATCCAGAGAGAATGGAGCAGTCCATGAGATGGTCACTGAGCTGACATTGATGGTGACTCTCAAGTCACATGCTAATAGTAATAGCGGACCTGAAATAATCACGGATAACATTTTTATGACTTTAATACACTTTCACATTAAAACCTTGAATGGTCAATGTGGCATTGTTACTCTCTGCAAATGAGCCACCAAGTACTAATGACAGACACTGAACTCTAGTCCCATTGTACTGTGCTCTGGCTGGAATAGTCAGAGTCTCCTCTGTAGTGCCTTCAGGCGTAGTAATCTCTGAGACAACCAGATCAATACGTATTTCAGGCGGAAAGGTTTCACGCTGTGTTCCATTGACGTTCCACAGAGTGGTGCCACCTCCGGTGTGACACGTAAAAACTGCCGATCGGTTTAGAAAGACAGTTGCGTTTTCAGGAGCACGAAGAATCTCTGCAAAAGATTTACAAAAGCAATTCATAGCTAATGAACGTTGTTAGAATATACCTTGAGCCACAGCAGATACAATAAGCAACAGTGCACCAACCAAACCTGGCAGGGTATCCATCTCACTGACTCGATCCGTGCCGTCAGAGTGTGTGGTTTCAGAGCAATGCGCATTGACACAATTGCTGAAGCCACGTGAGTGTGCAACCAGTAAACCACAAGCAAAGCCATCGTATTTGCACGTCGACATCTGTCGATAAGGCTCTGACCAATGAGATTGCGCCAAAGCGTTCAAACCGCCCTCTTTTTAACGCACACCCGCAGAGAGAGCTAGCAACCGATCGGGAGGGAGACTGCTGCCATAAGCGCTTTAGTTTAGTCCAGCTTGGCGGTTTTGCAGAAGCCACGGGCATTTCTCGAGAGTTCAACGTTACAGGTATGTCAAAGCTATTCTTTATCACTGCTAGACCCCATGCACAAGTTTTGTAGCTGCTCGCTTTCTCTCCCGCTATACCCAGCGCTCCCTAGAATGCAGCCTGTTGCAGTAGCAAGAAAGCTGAAAGTCACCGAATACTATTCCAGTCCACTTGAGCGTACGCGTCGGGAAGCAGCTTTCGCTAGTTTTCAGAGTGTATATACTAGAGCAGTTTCTGGCCATTCTAGCCTAAAAACACTCCCTTCTGGTAAAGAAACAGCAGCACACAAAGAGTGTAAATTGCATTACACGCTCCCAATTTCCTACTATCCTATAACTGCCATAATTATACCCACTGTGGTTTTATTATGCGAATGAGTTGACATACAGCTAAGTATGGGGAAATCGTATGGCCAGCACTAACCCTCGGCGAACTGCGCATGCGCGATACCGCTAATGCATGGGCTGGGCTATTGGCGTTTACTCGCGGTCTCCCGCTAGTAGCTCGCGGAGAGTCTGACACGGGCTAGCTACGGAAGTAGATAGCATGCGGGAGTCGATACATACCCTTCACTGTGGCTTCAAGGTACACAGAGCAAGCGGATAAGGTCGAGGTGAGCCAGCACACTGCGTTGATCCCGTCTAATACACGCATGCGCACCGCTTATTGATGGGTTGGGCCACGCAACGCTAGCTGTCCGCGAACCGTGCTAGTTTGTCGCTCTCGAACGCAGTCGTTTCAGCAAAATCGCCATTTTATTTTTCTAGCCCATGTACCGCTAACGCTGTTGGTATCGCTCATAAGTCGCCTCGTAGCCTGAAGTGTCGTAGCGCTCCGAGGGTTAACTACCCGTAAACTCAGCAGGAAGCGTTCACCAACCGGTTGTTGTCGTCGTCTAAGCCCGTCTGCTTCAGAAGGAGAGAAAGGGCTGCAAAGTCGTTGACCCAGGTAAATACTTATATACTTACGGGCTTTTATTTGTGGGTTAGTCCGGTACCAGCCCTACCGTTTGTGGGGGTATATACACGATTAGGAGAGCTTATTACGAGCCGTCTATGAACCAAAATTATTTTGCACACAAACCAGTTCAGTGGCCGATACAGTGGTCAGAGAGCAGATACAGTGGTCTGTATGCTTTTCATACTAGCTAGAGCATAGCTTACAAAGAACAGGTTTGTCAGAATAGTACAACTGCTTATGTTGACTACATGACATTCTGTGCACCGTAAAGCGTGCATTACATATTATTACTGTATCTCTGTTGAGAGGACTAGGAGTGAGGGAGAACAGTGTGTGTGATAAAAAGCTTCCTCCATTAATTGTATTCATTGGCAAGCAAAATTGCGCAAGTGCAGTAATTAACCCTCGGCGCACATGCGCAGCGAGTTACGTGTCTGTGTGTCCGTCGACGGTTTTTCTGGCACTATACAGGCTACTAGGCGGCCTATAAGCGATACCTATGTGTTTAGAACTACGCGAGCCTGATAACAATTTTCCTGAAACGACTGGGTTCGAGAGATATCATATGCCGTGAAAACAAGCGAAAAGCCAATATGCAGAATCTTGCTCTGCGTATAGATACAAGAACGCACAACGAAGGGGTTATCGACTCCTGCATGCTATCTACTAGTGTAGCTAGCCGGTGTCAGACTCTCCTTGACTGTTGAGCTATATTATATATATACTAGCGGGAGACGACTATAATTATAGTAGATTGAAATTCATTACGCTGGGTTACAGGAAGTGGAACACGCAACCACTACACACAATTTGATACATGGAGAAACTAAAGGATTTACCCTCGGCGCGCATGCGCAGCGAGGGTACGGTAGTTGGGTCTGTGTGTCTGTGTGTCAAAGCTATTCTTAGCGGTACCACACATGCGCAGTTCGCCGAAGGTTAGTGCTTCTCTTCATTTAGCAGTATAGACAACATTGTCCAGCTTTTGGATGTTTGAGGATGTCAAGCTATCCTCCATTTATATTTTCACTGTAAAATGCTGTCCCTAAAGTTCTGTAGTAGTGCATTTCTTTGTACGTTGTCCAACTGTGCATTATGCACTCCTTTTCGTCCTTTGTACTTGGTCGGTATGTCTGTGTATATAGTCTGGCGTCAAGCTTTACCGCGAAATGTAACGATTATGTAATGCCTTACCCAAAATTGTTTACGTTTTGTGACGTAAATTTACGAGAGGACGAGCGACGAGGCTAGGTTGGTATCCAAATCGTAAAGTGCAACTGCGTACTATATAAGTTGGGGATTGTTCACTACTAAACCTATTGCTGCTAAACGAACCTTTTCTTGGTGTTTACTTCCTCAACTAGAACCTCTGGTTACAATTGTGTCCTTTGTTGTTGACTGTGATTGGCGACCGGGAGCGAGCCAACCTAGTCGTGCCAACAGCCGATTTTCCATCCAGCGATGCCACCGGCGATACCACACACACCGTAATGTTTTGCGTGATTCTAAATAGCCGTCAAGCCAGCAGGTGAGTTCGAATTTAGATGCAACAGTAGTCTGCCGGGAGTGCAGCCGAGAAGTGGGAAGCACGCCGTTCTCGGCGCATGGGAGTGGCGACTACCATGAGACAGAGCTAGAGCAGGAGGCAGTGTCTCGCTTCAGAAACGGCCTAGGAGCGGAAAAACCGCCTTCCTGTGTGGGCGCGGCATGCATCATCACATGCAACAGATGCTCCCAGTGAAAGCTCACAAAATGTCTGCATATCTACAGTTGGCGGGTGTGAAGGACTGCGTGGGAACACAGACTCACTAGTTGTATAGGTACTAATAGGAACAGTTGGACGCAGCCCTTCACCAATATCCACTAGATAGAGTAGCTGGCTCACTACTGTGTTGTAATTCCTCACCCCTTTGAGCACCTATCAACACTCTTCTCTACCTCCCACTGTTGTACCTCACTCAAAGGGTCACCATATGCCATGCCCACAGCTGTTAATAGCATCTTCCTCTTCAGTTACTACAACCACCTATTACTCCCTCACATCCACCCCCACTCTTCCACCTGTCTTTCCTCCTCACCATTGGTATAAAAGAGGCAGCTATACTGAGCCCTCAGGAGGCTGTGTGTAAGATAATCATTTCGCCACCTACCACTCCGAGACCTCTCTTCGCCGCTACGGCCGCGCTCTACCACAGCGGGTCACTCCCGCTCGCCAATAATGCTAGTTGCTATACATGTCCACATACAATCATATGAGGTGTGTGCTATTTTGTAGAAATCCTGTACCTGGGGGCTAGGGCTATGATTACTGGATATGTTACAGGATACATGGTTATTGGTTACTCAGTACATATGCAATAAAGGACTCTTCGGACTAGTTAACCCTCGGCAGGCACTACTAAATATTAGTTTGTTATTGGTGTAATCTCTGAGCTGAATACCCACAGACTTGGATTAACCGTGCCTAACATAATATAGGGACCTATGAAATCACTGTTTTGGTCTCCTGTGCAGAACAGTGAGGGCATGCCTGACCCTTACTTAGGTCAAGATACACTTCCCTAGGGCATTGTAGTGTTGCACAAGTTTCAGGTCTTAACTGATTTGTGGAAATCGCCTGTGCCTAAGTATGTCTGCAAACCTTGTCTGCAAACCTTGTCGCTGATCATTTTGTTATGTCATAATTATTTTGGAATGATGTTCAGCGTGGCCCAGAAAATTGACCTGGAGTGAAAATGTACGCTGCACTGTATATAGCATAATAACCTACGCATAGGTATGGGTGCAATGCATAATCATATATACTCAGCCAGCACTGTGTCTCCAACGAAGGTTTGCACTTTCTTTTCATTGTGGCATTACTTCTAGGTAGTATATAGGGTGCGACTTTAACACAGCATATACACTGAAGTGCAAACCCTCGGCGGATTGCGCATGCGTGGTACCGCTAATTCGGCTGGCTGCTGAGCTATTACTCGTGGTCTCCCACTAGTAGCTCACGGAGAGTCTGACACGGGCTAGCTACAGTAGTAGATAGCATGCGAGAGTTGATACACGCCCTTTGTTGTTATTTCTTGTGCCTCCGAGGTACACAGAGCGAGCGGATCAAGTCGAGATAAGCCAGCACAATTATACATATTGACTTTTTCGCTTGTTTTCACGGCATATCTATCGAACGCAGTCGTTTCAGGAAAAATTGTTTTATTTATCAGGTTTGCGTAGTTCTGAAGCCATATTTTTCAGGTTTGCGTAGTTTTGAAGCCATATTTATCAGGTTTGCGTAGTTCTGAAGCCATATTTATCAGGTTTGCGTAGTTTTGAAGCCATATTTTTCAGGTTTGCGTAGTTTTGAAGCCATATTTATCAGGTTTGCGTAGTTCTGAAGCCATATTTATCAGGTTTGCGTAGTTTTGAAGCCATATTTATCAGGTTTGCGTAGTTTTGAAGCCATATTTTTCAGGTTTGCGTAGTTTTGAAGCCATATTTTTCAGGTTTGCGTAGTTTTGAAGCCATATTTTTCAGGTTTGCGTAGTTCTGAAGCCATTGGTATCGCTCATAGGTCGCCTCTTAGCCTATAGTGGCAGAATAAATGTCGACAGACAGACAGACAGACAGACAGACAAACCAAGTACTGTAACCCTTGCTCTGCATGCGCGCTGAGGGTTAATGACCAGGTTTTTCTACTGTTTATTTACTGTACAGCGTCAAGAAACACTGATTGCAGTTAATGCTTAAACCATGGCTCCACGTAAGTCATTAATGGATTATTTTTATTAACCTTTAGCAAAACACACACACACACACCTATACTGTATACAGTAATAGGTTTGTGTGTGTGTGTGTTTGTCTGTGTTTGTCTGTGTTTTACCCACTAATTAAACTAATAAGAATCACTTATGAAGAGACAGTTCAGACGACTAGGTGAGCTCTCTTCATTACCAAATTTTGGCATTACGAGCCCAGAACCATCCCTACATTCCTCCTTTTATTAAGCCTACAATTTCATATGTGAACGCATCAAGTAAAAATAGGGTGTTCGCCACATTATAATGTTTCCCTGTGTATGCGAGCGGAGGGGAAATCCCTTACGTCGCAATGCGCGTTGCACGTAATGCCCTCGCGTGGTTCTGGTGTGGCTAATCGTCGCCATATCGCGCATGCAAATTCTCTATTCATTGTACTACGTAATTCATTCACAAACTCAAACTTGTCCCTGTGTGTCATAGCCCCTAATTTACTTGATGCGCTCACATATGAGCTTACGAGGTTCTTTTCACAAATTCTAATGACAAATCATTTTAATAAGCCATGCACTAAATCCATCTATTGATTGTGTTAACTGCACTATTTATAGGTGGAGGTGTAATCCTGCTATGGCTTCTACTTTTTGCAGTCCACAGTTTTGCACGAGGTATATACAGTATATGATTTTAAAAGTCAGCTGACACTCACCCTCGGTGTGCATGCGCAGCGTGGGTTACGGTACTTGGTTTGTATGTGTGTGTGTGTCTCTGTCTGTTACCATGTTTTCTGCCACGCAATGCGCAACAAGCCAGCCAAAAAGTGATACTCAGCACTACCACGGGCTTTATCTAGCAATTTTCGTATGAACACTGCATTCAAAAGTTATGGCGTGAAAACCAAGTGAACAAGCCAGTATGCAAATTACCATTCGCTTACCTCGACCCTGTGGAAGATCCAATGAAGAGAGTATGTCGAGTTTCATGATTGCTTAAAGTGCTTTATACAAGCCCGTGACAAACTCTCAAAAGCTAGCGACAGACCATGATAGTATAGAGCCCAGCCCATCAATTAGCTGCACACGAGTATGGGTGCAATGCTTATATGCACACATGTACGCTGAGGGTTTGCACTTTAGTGCTTTTCGTTATTATGTGAGAGGGTTTGAGCGAGCTTAGCAAGTGATGCATGTCATGACATATACATAATTATGTAAGAGATAGTTTCCACATTTGGGATAGCCATTTTATCGAGTGGGTGTGGTTACGCTTTATACGTAGCATATTGAAAAGCACTGAAGTGCAAACCCTCGGCGCAAGCAATGGTTTGTGCAGTTGGCAAGAAGGGATTATGCTTACAGATCTCCCCCAGTTGTAGTAAGCAAAAGCAGTTGTGATGTATAGCTTGTATTTAAGAAAGTGCTACTGCAAGCACAGTATGGTACCCATAACCACTGCCAAGTCCAACCTATTCGTTAGTGTATATCAACATAGAGCAATATTGCTGAAATGCAAACCCTCGGGGAACTGCACATGCACGTTACTGCTAATTGAATGCTGGGCTATTATTATGCGTTAATTACTCATGGTCTCCCGCTAGTAGCTCCCAAAGAGTCTGACACGGGCTAGCTACAGCAGTAGATAGCATGCTGGAGTCGCTACACGCCCTTCGTTGTGACTTCTTGTGCCTTAAAGATACACAGAGCAAGCGGATCCGGTCAAGGTAAGCTCGTGTTTCAAGGCGTAACTCTCGAATGCAGCAGTTTCAGAGAAAATATTTCAACCTATACCGGACGCTGAAAACGTGGTGTTGTACTTGTGCGTGCCGAGGGTTAATAGTTATGCCAGTGCTACGTCACAACTCTTTCACAAGTCACACCACTGACATGTAATTAATAGAGGAATGCGACACATTGTTAATTTGCAAGCAAGCGTGAGCAGTTCAATAGTTTGTGCGTGCTTTGCGCATATTTAGAATCTCGTATAATTATAGAACATTCGGCAGAAGAAATAAAGAAATAAATGAAAAGCACTAAAGTGCAAACCCTCGGCGAACTGTACATGCGCGGTACCACTAATTGATGGGCTGGGTTTTTTATGCCTTTACTCGTGGTATCCCGCTAGTAGCTCGCGCAGAGTCTGGCACGGGCTAGCTACAGTAGTAGATAGCATGCGGGAGTCAATACATGCTCTTTGTTGTGACTGCTTGTGCCTGAAAGATACACAGAGCGAGCGGACGCGGTCGAGGTAAGCCTGTGCTAATTTGCATATTGGCTTGTTCACTTGCTTTTCACGCCATAACTTTTGAACACAGCAGTTATACGAATATCGCCTTTTTAAAAATGAAGCCAGTGTAGCGACAAACCCGTTGGTATCGCTATTTTGTTATCTCGTTGCGCGTAGTAGCAGAAAACGTGGTAACAGACAGACAGACAGACAGACACACTTACAAACCAAGTACCGTAACCCTCGCTGCGCATGCGCGCCGAGGGTTAATAAAATAATAGGAAAACGGCCTGTTGGCACGACTAGATAGGCCCGTTGGCACGACGCAATGAGTGTGCAACATAAACCATAAGCATGTGGCGTGCATGATATACGACCCTCCTTATATGGAACTGTGTTAACACATTGGAGTTATCCTGCACCAAGGAGTTGCAACTAAAACACTAAAATGTTTTTTTTCCAGAGATTGTTCGTGATCCTGAAAACACGACTGTTTTCCTAAACCAAACTGCAATGTTTACATGTGAGACAAGAGGTGGCACCACTCTGTGGAAAATCAATGGAACACAGCGTGAAACCTTTCCGCCTGAAATACGTAGTGATCTGGTTGTCTCAGAGATTACTACGCCTGAAGTCACTACACAGGAGATTCTGACCATTCCAGCCAGAGCCCAGTACAATGGGACTAGAGTTCAGTGTCTGTCAGTACTTATTAAGGGCTCCATTACAGAGATTGCAGAGAGTGACAATGCCACATTGACCATTCAAGGTATTGAGTTCATTACCTCCAACTAGATACTCCCTTTGCTTTCATGCTGTATATGACGTTGGGTGTCTTTGGTGGTTTAATTACTCCGGTCTGCTCCTACATACTGAGTGAGAGTATACTGTGCCATAGCACAGTGGTTGGAGGATTGCCTTGTCTTGTGTTAGATTCGAACCCCTACCAGCTGAGTTGCCCTGGTAGCTCAGTTGGTAGAGTGCTCGCCTAGACTGCAGAGTGTCGTGGGTTTCAAATCCCACCCAGGGCAGCTCTTCTTTTCTCCTTGGAAAAAAGAGCTGTCCTGGGTGTAGTTGATTTGTTTGTTGTGCCTTTGCCTTTCTACCTCGTAGTTTTCACATACCTCACTAGCAAATTACCATTTCTGACATGCTATTCATTGTATGGTCATCTCATTATTAATGTGTAGCCTCCACAAAATGTATTTCTGTGCATAAACATGAGAGTTTCGCATTACTAAAGTAAGGAAAACTAGGAGGTTGTTGTTCCAGCCATCCTCT